AATCCCTTTTGGTCAACCTAATGAAGCATTCAAACAAGTCATATGACTCTTTTCAAGATGAACTTGAAGATTAAAGCACAGAAAGCCAGAGGCTTAGAGCCAAAGACGTGTTTCAGAAGGATGAGAGGGGACTATTTGGAAAGCTGTGGGTACAGAGAAGAGTTTGATTCCAGGCCCAGGTATAGCATGTTTGATCAAAGACTCCCATCTGGAACCAACCATACCTACCCAAGATCATGCAGTAGTTCACAGACAGAAGACCGCTTGCCCCAGTGGTTACCAGCTCATGGAAAGCTGAGATTAGACTCTCTGAGCTACTGTCAATTTACCAGAGACGGCTTCTCAGAAAAACCAGTCCCCTTCAACCTTAGTCAGCAAGAATACAACTGTGGCTCATATAGTGTAGAATCTGTAGTTCACAAGCACCTCAGCTCAGGGCACAGTACCATTGACCCTCAAGTCAGTCACAGACAAATGCACCAGAAGAGGAAAAGACATCTAGAGGAGAGCAGAGAAAAGGAGGAAGAGCGGCCCAAACACGAGAGGAAAAGGAGTTCAGAGGAAATGGATTTAAACAAACACAGGAACATCCAAAGAAAGAAAACAAAGGCAGAAACAGAAACTGGACAGGACGGTACAGAAAAGCTTAAGAACCGAAAAGAGAGAAAAGGCCGAGATGTTTCCTCTAAGAAAGAGGACCGTAAGCGTAGAAAGGAGAAAAAGGAGCAAGGCGAAGAAAGGACAGAGGAGGAGATGCTTTGGGACCAGTCTATCCTTGGATTCTGAAGCTCCTAAGTCAGTTCTCCTGAGGCTCAACTGAAATAACATCTGAGGAGCTTGGTTCTATGCATTCATGTTCATGTCACTTTCCTATGTGGACAGAAGTTTCAACTTCTAACGAAGTGAACATGAGGAATTTAGTATGCTTGCTTTCCAACATGGAGATTACTTTCCTATTTTCTAAAAGCTTTATTAATTTTCCTTACATATGATAGAATTTCCCTTTTAGAAAAGAGTGACTCTGCTTTGATTCACCAAATTGCTGTGGTAGTGGAATTATTTTCCCTTGGGAGATCATTTATTTAAAATTGGAGGATTAACAGACTTTGTGGAATCTGTTTCTTGGTTGGGTTTGTTTTAGTTTTGAGTCACATATTTTTATACTCACTGGCTTTCTCTATGAAACAATTTAGATATCTTTTTGTAGATCTAACTTGCAGTATTTTCTGGGTTGGAAAGTGAAATACATTATAATAATCTTATCTTACATATAGTTTTAAAAGTTTCAGAGTCTTCACACAAAATCAGTTTATATTCTGAAAATGTTTATAATAATAAAGTATTTTAACTTCTGGATGTTGTTTTGTGTCAGTGGCTCTTTTCTAGTGATTTTCCTTTGGAAGGGGAAAAGCAATAACTACACTATAATAAAGAGGAAAGATTTTGGAGGTAGAATACACTAAAAAGTTGTGAAAATACCTTACCTACTGTATCAGGCTTACTCATATTTTATGATAAAAAATCTGTGGCTCACCATAATTTTTCCAAATAATTGAAACTAATGAGAGGAATTTATGAAAAAGAATATGTTATTCTATCCTTGGCAATGCTGTACAAATACCAAGACAACAAGGTTCTGTAATTTCTTCAACATGACTCAAGGTCAACAGTTAGCATCATATAATTGAACATTAAATGACACTAAATATGTCATGCAGTTCCTTTAAAACATTTTAATTAAAATCATAGGTATTGAGCAAGAGAAGACTATAAATATGTAGTATTGATCATATTGAGGAAACCACTCTGGCTAGCACAATTTTTTTTAAAAAATTAGGACAGAAGGCTTTTGTCCTAAAATGTCCTGTTCTCCAACCCCATTCAATATTGAAACACAAAGTATGTAAAACTGATTGAAGCTGAGCCTTCATTGACACTGCTGTCAAACATCGACTGTGCAAAGGACAGTCTCCACTACAAAGAAACTTGGAACCAAAATAGAAGAGGTGGAGAAACCCTGATCAAAAGTTAGGAAGATGTCTTAAGTAGCACGTTTAAAAAAAAAAAAAAAAGCTGATCCAAAGTACAAGATGGGGAATAGTAGTATTCTTCATGCAACTCTGCAAGTGAGAAGAATCAGAGCAATGAAGAGGACAGAAAGAGGTCTGGAAATCAAAAGAGAAGAAGCCTAAATACCACAGAGAAATGCAAAGATATACAAAGCAATTTGCAATGTAGTTGTCCCTGCTCCCCAACCCAGGAAGAAAGGAGAACCAAAGACCACAAGTGTAAGGTAAGCCAGAGAGTGCCAGCCACTCACAGTAACATCAAACTACAGTCCTAACCGCAGGAAAAAACTGGCCCTTAGAAAATTTTAAATCCAGGAGGATTAGCCTGAAACTGTCCCCCAGACAAGCCATCTTTGGAGAAGTCCATTACATCACCCAGCAAAACCTCAGAATGCTATGCACTGTCTTGAGTAGTGCTCATCAGAAGTACTTCATCCCGGACTGGCTGCTCAGAGGACCAGAAAATAGTGAATAATCACAATTCAAGGTTCCTGTAGATACGTTGCTTCAGTGACAGGGTGGGAGAAGGCCCCTGAGGGACAAATACAAATAAGGAGGAATGTCTCTCACAAGTCCAGTGGGGAATTTGGGTTGTGGGGAGGAAGTGAACAAGGGACATGGTCACCAGTGGTCCCATGACAAGAATCAAGACTAGTCACATGGTTTCACACAGGGGGTAGGTCTGAAAGATTAAGACCAGGTTGGCAAAGGACTTGTATAGACTATTTTGGACTGCCAGCTCCCAAATAATGACACAAAGACTTATTAATTATGAGATCTTGGCCTTAGCTTAGGCTTGTTCTCAACTAGCTCTTATAAGAACCCGTTTATATTCATCTACATTATACCACATGGCTCTTTACCTCTCCTCCTTACTGTACGTCGGATTTCCCTGTGTCTTGCTGGCAAATTCTGCCTCTTTTCCCAGGGTTCCTATCTCTTTCCAGAAGTCCCACCTATCCTCTCCTGTTTAGCTACTGGTCACTCAGCTCTTTATTAAACCAATCAGAAAGTACCTTGGTAGAGACACATCTTCATAGTGTACAAAAGGATTATCCCACAACAGGTTTGGCTCCCATGAACTCCCTCCATCAAATAAGTTGGTTTGATTACTTCCTCTGAGACATTCCAGGGATACACCACCAGTTTGTGTAATGCCACATCTGTATACACAGACTGCAGGCCACCAGAGTGAATATGTACCCTGTTGACTAATACACATGCTAACAAACTTTGTTCTGGACAGTGAGATAGCTCCTGCTTTCACACTGCCTCCAAGTATACAGACTTAAAGCTTCCAGAAGCAAATATAGCCCTTCTCTCTTTATTTTTTTCCCCGAGACAGGGTTTCTCTGTAGCTTTGGAGCCTTTCCTGGAACTCACTCTGTAGCCCAGGCTGGCCTCGAACTCACAGAGATCTGCCTGCCTCTGCCTCCTAAGTGCTGGGATTAAAGGTGTGCACTCACTACCGCCCAGCAAACATAGCCTTTCTAGAGACATAAATTACCTCATTTCACCTGGAGAGAAATCCGGGGCAGGTTGTAGCTTGTTTGCTACAACCTAATCCCACTTGGACTTTGGTGAATACTTCAACCTAAAAAAGAATATGGAAGGTGGAGGCTGGAGAGATGGCTCAGCAGTTCAGAGCACTTTGTTCTTGAAGAAAACCTGGGTTCAATTCCCAGTACCCACATGGGGACTCAACAGCAGTCTATAACTCTAGTCCCAGGGGATTCAACACCCTCTTCTGACCTCTGCAGGTACCAGGAAAACAGCTGATGACCCAGCCCCAAACAAGCATAACCCGAAGGCCCATACCAGATATATCCTTAGCATCGACAGAATGTCATAGTAAATGGTGTGGACACCTACACCTATCAGAATCTTCACAGGTTGCTCATATTCTTTCTGTCCCTACACATGATGATAGATGATAGATAGATAGAGATAGATAGATAGATAGATAGATAGATAGATAGATAGATAGATAGATAGATAGATAGATAGATTGATAGATAGATAGATTGATGATAAAAAGATATAGATGACAGAGGATTTTTTTAAAAAAAACAGAGTAAAGGGTCTCCAGTAGTTGAGATTGCCTACATCACTAAGGAAGACTTTTGAACACCTGATCTTCTGTCTCCACTTCCCAAGTTCTAGAATTACAGGTATGCTTCACCATGTCCAGCTGATCATGTGTCTTTTTTGGGTTTGGGTAGATTTAGTATAGGTTTTGTAGAATTAATCTGGGGGGAGTTCCTTCCCTGTCTTTCATAGAATAGTTGGAGAAGCATTGATAGTGATTCTTCAAAGGCCTGGTAAAATTTAACTGAATCCATCTGGTCCCAAGCTTTCTTTGTTAGGAGACAAACTATGTCTGTGCAGTATTATACTCACCAAAACATAAATAATACACACAAAAAGAAAGCTATAGGCTGGGTGTGGTGGTGTTTGCCTTTGATCCCAGCACACAGCAAGCAGAGTCAAGTAGATACCTATGATCTGAAGGCCAGTTTGGTCTACCATGATTTCTGGGATACTCAAGGCTATGTAGAGAAACCCTATCTGAAAAAAAAAAAGGAAAAGAAAAAAAGCTATAGATCAGTATTGCTGATGAACATAAATGCAAAAAGTAATAAAAATAATTGCAATTTAAGTTCAAAAGCATATTTTAAAAATACACCATGATCAAGTTGGTTTTGTTTTAGAAGTGCAAGGATGGCTCAATATACACAAATTTAAGCATAATACAGTATAAAAACAGTAATTTAAAAAAAAGAGTTCCATGATTGTCTGGGCATGATTGTGCTAACCCCAGAACTTGGGAGGTGGAAGCAGAGGATCGGGACTCGGAAGTTTCCCTGTCTGCTTCCTGGAGAATGGTTCTAGGTGAGTCTGAGTGGGTGAAATATGAAGACCAAGGGGTGAGGTAGGTATGCAATTCTGTCACCTGAGGAATGAAGACAGGAGGGTCAGGAGGCCAGTGCCAGCCTTGGGTACATAGTTCCAGGCCAGCCTGGGCTACATGAGACATCTCAAAAAAATGAGCAAATAGTTGTTAGGTGTGGTGGTGTATGCTTATTATCTTAGTACTTGGGAGGCTGAGGCAGGAGGATTGTGAGTTCAACTCCAACCTAGAATGCGTAGCACCCACATGGTGGCTCACAACCATCTACAATGAGATCTGGTTCCCTCTTCTGGCTTGCAGGCAAACATGCAGGTAGAATACTGTATACATAATAAATAAATACATCTGGAAAAAAAGATGTCATATCAAAAAGAGAAATGGTATTTAAAAATAAGTCCTTTTTTGTTTGTTTGGTTGGTTGGTTGGTTGGTTTGGTTTGGTTTTTTAAGACCGGGTTTCTCTATGTAACTGCCCTGGCTGTCTTGGAACTCACACTGTAGACCAGGCTGGCCTCGAACTCACAGAGATCTGCCTGCCCCTGCTTCCCAGGTGTTGGGAAGCAGCGCACACCTGGCTAAGCCATTTTTTTATACATCAAGTAATGCAAGAAAGAAGTCAGGAAAATAATCCTATTCAACACATCCTTTAAAAATAGGAATAAATTTCAAAAAAGTAGAAGACTTTTCCAATAAAAATTGTAAAGGAGGGCTGGTGATATGGCCTGGAAGGTAAGGGCACTTGTCACTCTGCCTGACAACCCGAGTGTGATCCTCTGAGCCCATAGGTAGAAGAGCACAGACTCCACAAGTTGTCTTCTGACTTTCCCATGCTCTCTATAGCACACACATGCACACATACAAATGTAAAGATACATTTTAATACAATGATAAAACACTGAAGAAAGAAATTGAAAGGGGCTGAAATGTTGACTCAGCAGTTAAAGTGTGTCCACGCTGCTCTTGAAAAGGACCCATGTTCAGGTCCCAGCTCCTATACAGGAGTCTCCCCTAAGTGCAGCACAAGGGGGTCCAGATGACTGGCCTCCTCAGACATGCACTCACATGCACAGACACATACACAGAACTAAAAGACTTTTTTAATTAAGAAACTAGACAATGTCAGGCAGTAGTGGTCCACGCCTTTAATCCCAACACTCAGGAGGCAGAGGCAGGCAGATCTCTGTGAGTTCAAGGCCAGCCTGGTGTACAGAGTGAGTTCTAGGATAGCCAGGACTGTTTCATAGAGAAACCCTGCCCCCCCCCCCAAAAAAAGAAAGAAGCCAGGCGGTGGTGGTGCACACCTTTAATCCCAGCACTCAGGAGGCAGAGCCAGGTGGATCTCTGTGAGTTCGAGGCCAGCCTGGTCTACAGAGTGAG